CGCCCTATAAAACCAAAACTAGGAGAAGGACAGAGACAAAAACAGAAATCATAGTCATATACTATAGCTAATATATTAAAAAAAATAGCAAACACGCTTTGGCAATAATTAGGAACACATCCAAAAATCAACATATAAAAAAAAACATCTAATGACCATATGTACTATACTGTCAACTGTAAAAATGGCGTCGTTAAAGCAGCGGTCTTTAGACATTTTATTATTTGATTGACTGATGAAGAGCTTTCTTATGGCAGAGTCATCTATGCAAACAAGACTGTAGTTTTTGAGTTATAAGAAAATGACCATATTAACCGGATGATCATATTACCCTCACGTACCCAATAAGATAAAATTATTTCATTGCATAGACTACTACAACAGGTCTTAAGTAAGAGAAAGTTAGTTGCATAAATTTAATGTGTATTTTATATATCCAAGGTAATTATATATGCAATGTAATTATATTATATGTAACCAGCTTTGTTGTATTCATGTAAAAAGAAAATCAAATCCTTGTTGTAATCGTTTGGCAAATTGTAAATTATGAACTGGAAGATTTTTATTTACGTGAAACATTATTTTAAGTGAGTAAAGTCTGATCTATTTCTTAATTATATTTAAATAAGGATAAGGAAGAACAAAAAATAAACATGCGCTGCGAAAGACCATATATGCCAGTCCCAGACAACTCTTGAGTTTCGAGATAAGGGACATAGACGTTCTGAGACCCAAGATAAGTTTCAAGTGCTTACATCTGTGATATTCCCATTCGAAATTATTATCAAATAAACGTAAGCGTTTATATCTAGAGACCTATAATAATATGAAATCCCAAAAAAATGATTACACATGAGAATTCGAGTCATATTATTATTACTATTTTATAGAAAGAAGTCTACCAGGTGGTTAGTAATAATATAATATATAAATATTGCTTTATTTCATATATCCCCATGACAAAGTCGTTCATGTAGGTAACCTACATGATTTTTCTCTACCTTCCTGATTCCGATTGGATTCACTTAATCAAAAATAATATTAATCCATTATGATAAATTATTTCAAGTATTTTATTAATATTATCAACATGTGTCGTAAATAGTCATTTTCTAAGTAATTCCCACCATTTTATTTTTGTGCCCTAACTTTACCAAATTGTATTTATTTCTCATTTTTAGGATTTCAAAAGGATAACCAACTGGAACCACTCCTTTTTTAAAGTAATATCATTATTTCTTAAATATTTTTGCTTAACATAAACCTAAAACGCTATACAAAAATGTTGAGCCTACGCTTAAAAATAATATTAGTACGCTTATTAAATTTTATTAATTAAAAAAATAGTCAAAAGTTCCAGATCGTTAGTCCTAGACTCACCGACCTATCTCTATACTTACGTATGTTTATTAGTAAGTAATATTTAAGTATGGCCAAATATTTCGTGAAATTGCCATTTCCCACAATCTTAACTAAACAACCTTTCTAAATAATTATATCCAGCCGTGGATTAAAACAAACTGATAGAGCAAGAAATATAATACTAAGTTATTACCTAGTATTGTATTACCTACCTATCCTACTACCATAGCTATCATTTGAAGTATTAAACATGTGTAATGGCGATGAAATATTAACCAGCTTATTAACGTTAGGCGTTTATTACCCAGACCAGCGTCGGACAGCAGTGTCAAAGGTGCGAGACGCCTCGCACTGCGATCGTCAATCCCAATCAAGTGAGACTACTAAAAGAAATCATCACTACAGTAGGAGAAACATATGTCCGGCTGAGGACTTCAACGGACCGATGAAGATGTAAATGAAACGTGGTTGTACCCACACATGTTTCGTTTACACAGAATATAAATGGTGAAATTCCCGTAGGTGTCGTAAAACGACTATGCCAAAAGCTAGAAAGATCTTACGGCCTCTGATGTAAAATACCCAGACCGGACATCATGCATGTAAAGAGATCATTAAAGCGTGGTAGTTAATGATCTCTTTACCGCCTTGAGATTATGACAGAAACCTACCCCATACTATGGTAAAGACCCATATCCAGCTGTGGACTGTTATGGGTTGATAAAGAATAAGGTCAAATTAAATGATGTATGGTACTATTAGCTTTGGTGTTATTTCAAAAGTGTAAAACGCTTTTTATTGATGTTTTTTTTTTTCACGACTTTTTGTATATTTAATTTATATCGCTTAACGTTTATATGGTTTTTATTATTACTAATTAGTAAATTTTAATATTATCAGTGTAAGATTTAGAATAATAAAAAAGGACCCTATCTCATTAGAATCGACACAAGGATAGATGTCTCAAGTAATAAATAAATATTTATTATAAAATAAAGGTGAAAAACGAATACTTACGCAATACCTACCCAAACCTGATACCAAGTGGATATAGGAGCCAGTAGACACTCTACATCTATCCTCGTTTTATAATCATAATAAAACGTTAAACATTTTGTACTACCGACTTCAATATAAGTTATTAAGAATAACTCAAAAACTGTTGATCAGACCTTGACCAAATTTATATGGCACCACATGAGAAGAACCAGCTTTTAAATCCAAAAAGAATCATCGAAATCGATTCACCTAGAAAAAGGTTGAGGTAACACACATAAAAAACATAGAGTCAAATTGAATACCGTCTCCTTTTTGAAGTCGGCAGAAAATGTAAATGCATTGTCAATCCTGAGGACTGTAAAAATACATCATTATTAGTAAAAACGTTCTCCCATTCTTAAAACTCATTGTACCAAACACCAAGATATTAAGCTGCTATTTTCGCTGGTATTCTGTGTGAGCGTGGCCTGTTTGTGCTACCCTACTCGATAACATACATAGCTAAAGCGCGGCAATACCATGTTAAGTGCTAATGGTGTGGAAATCAACACACTTAAAATACGATATGACTTATTCAAAGGCTACCAAAAAACTCTCATGTACCATCTGCACCAACGTAATGGCGTGCGTAATGCGTATAGGCAAACTCCTCTATGAAACAGAAACAGAAACTTTTTTATTCAATATAGATTATAAATAATACTTGTTGAAAGTCACTCTTTTGTTTAATTACCACTGGTTCGAGAACCAGCAAGAAAGCCATTTTTTTAATATATATATATATCGATGCAGGTGGCCTATGTTCAGCAGTGGACATGTGATATATATATATATATATATATATATAAAAATAATGATGAAAATACTGTGATGGTATATATATATATATATATATATATATATATATATATATATATATATATATATACCATCACAGTATTTTCATCATTATTTTTTTTAAGCCGACCCATTCGTGTTACAACTATACCACTAATATAGCTGCAGCATGGCTCTACCACGTATAAAATACTACCGTATTTTGCCTTGTTATCAAAAATAGAAGATTGTGTGACTGATTATCCATTATTTCAGGTTTCTTCTGTGACTCTTATGACACACCCACGGGATGATATGGGATAGCGGATTCTCGTACGCCACCTCTATTTTTTTAATTTTTCATTCCATTTCATTCTGCACAGCTAATTGTGAATTACTTATTAATAAATACTAATATCACACAACAACTAAGATACCTCAGAGGCACTACTAGGAATGAACTAAAACAAAAATTTAAAAACTACAAACATAAAATGTTTAAAGGCGTGGCGGTGTAAGAATATCCACTACCCCATATCATCCCGTGGTTGTCGTATAAGGCGAAAGAGCAAAACAAATCAGGAGCATCTTCCTAATAACAACTAAAAATAAAAATAAACTTGTTGCCAACCCGCTTACCAAGCGTGGCAGCTATGGCAAATATCCCCCCTATGATGCAATCTATGTGGGAGGCCTATGTTCACCAGTGGACTTTAATAGGCTGTAACGGTAAATTTTTTAAAAGGAGTTTTACTAGTTAATATTTTAATGAAACAGCTGACTATTGACGATCATAGAAAACGATTATATGTCTGAAACGTCGACTTCTATTTTATGTATCCAATAGAGATATCTTATAACAAATAACCGGGATTATCGTGAAAGGATCAGGAGCTTAATGTGTCCCGGGAGGCACGACAACGTCGGAAGTATTTAACGTTCCTATAATATCATGCTTTATATTGTACACCGAAGAATACGATGCAAAGAAAACCATAATTTCAACTATTCTAAGACAAATGTTTACTTAACACGATCACATAAAACTATTTTTTCACTATAGATCAATAAAAAAATATTGATAGAGATATCATGTAGAGTATTATATACCTAAAGATTGTGATCTAGCGTGATCGTAGCAAAAACTGACATTTGTAGAGAAACAAACATATTATATTTTCAAATATTGTTGTACCTATCGGGGTTTTACCCCATTGGTCTGTCAGTATTAACAAGTTATTTCTTTACTTTATTTTATAAGCTTTATACACGTAAAATATATTGAAGAAATAAGATTGATCCTGTTAGTAATTTTTTATAGTATCGTAGACAAAAAATTAGGAACGTTTTGCTTCTGTGGTAAATATGCCTTACCACCGCCGGTGAACTCTAATTAAGCTGCCGTTAAAAAAAAAAACTAAAAAAGCTCCATTGTTCTGTTAACGAAACGCTACTACGGAACTACATTTCGTTAATTGGCTTCATGCTTTTAATTACTCGACCAGACGATCTGATAAGTGCAGCGTTGTTTTATACGTTCACTACTTTTCAAAATTTGTTTTTATTGCTTTACCAATAAGTGTAATAACCTACATGAAAGTGTTAAATATTACATAAACTAAATGCGATTGAAATGTTAACAGATAGTCTGACGAAAGAATAAAACAAAATAAAGTACTAAGAACTCATCACTACGCTACAAAATTGTACATGAAATAAAACAAACGTAAACTAAACTTAGATTAATACATAATTATCGAGACATAAACTTAAGCAATTAAAATAAGAAGAATTCTGTATAAAGTTTTGCAAAAAATATTTACCATTAGTGCCGTTCAGTCCAATTAGAAGTAAATGCACAAATACCAAATATACAAATTGGGTCCTCCCATTTTTGGTGTTATCACACTCATTAACACCGACATCCACCATACTGCCACCGAATTACACTAAACTCTCTCACATTCGATTATTTTTACATAATAACCATTTCACGACGTAACCGAGAATGGTATTTTCCACACGCATTCCTCAGCATAACTTGCTTATTTTATTTGAAATCTAAAAAGTCATGATACTAATTTAAGTTTTCAAGCTCGAAAGTTCGGTAAACATGCGCGGCATCGCTTGGATACGCGTCCGCCCCACGTAGTGCCTTGCCGCGTACTATCGCGTCTCCCTCCCTCATCTGGATGTTTACTCTTCGAAATGGGGGGAAACGAGAGCGTGTTGCCTCTGATCTTCTTGGGTATAATAGACTGCTTAACCTTTTGTCAGTGATCTATGTGACCTTTTGTTTGTAGAAGCAACATTATACTTAATTTTAACTAAGTAAGTATTTATATTTGTGTTAATTTTTTAAAATAACTACAACTTTGTGATAATATACAATATAATGTGTGCTACACAAATTATATTTTACGGATTTCCTAGCGTAGAATTTAATATTTTGAGTGATTAACAGCACCCATATTATCAGTTAGTTTTTATACGTGGTAGAGCCATGCTGCAGATATATTAGTATTATGGTTGTAGCACGAATGGGTCGGCTCGACTGGGGATGGACCATGCTCTAACAGAATACCAGCGTAAAATAGCAGCTTAACACTGCTGTTTTTCGTATGGTGAGTGTAGGGAACCGGAGACCCCTTTTACTGGAAAAGAAGCATTCCATCTTAGCCCTCACGGGTGATAACGCATTTGCATTTTATATTATTGAATTTAAATGTAGACGTCTATGGGTCATAGCAACCACTTACCTTCAGATGGACTATGTGCTCGTTTGTCACCCTATCCTATAAAAAAAAGTGGCGACGAAAAAGATTTCACTACACCATGTTGTCCCGTGTGTGACATAAGGAGTGACAGGGGGAAATAAAATACGAGATAAGAACCAGCATCTTCCTGATAAATATTTAAAATAATTAAAAACTACGGTTGCAATCCACGAATATTTAAAATATCCCCTATTTGAGGCAATCTATTTGGTAGGTCTATGGTCAGCTGTGAACATTTAATAGGCAGTAATGTATAAAAAAAATATGTTAGTATTCACCTAAAGAAATATAATATAAGAAATTATATATTATTTGTCATTATTTAAAATATCCTTCTAAATTATTTGCTAAATAAAGATCTTTTCAAAAATGCGCCAATACGCATGAATAACATCACAGAACACCTAATAAATATATTAAGTGTTCTGTGAATAACATAGATCATTTTCCCGCGCTCACCACGCCCGCTAGGCAGATTGTAGAGTGATGTGTAGATAATAATTTAAAATTAAAAATTTTGTACAGCCTACTTCAATATAATTTAATAAGAATAACTCAAAAACTATTGGTCTGACCTTGATCAAATTCATATGGGACCACACGGGAAGAACCAGCTTTCAAATAAAAAATGAATTATCGAAATCGGTTCACCCAGTAAAAAGTTATGAGGTAACACACATAAAAAAACATACAGTCGAATTGAGTACCGTCTCCTTTTTGGAAGTCGGCAGAAAAGGTACCCTCACTAGAGTATTAATAATTTCAACCACCAAGCTATGGCATTTGGCTTAAGTGTTTTAGAATAGATATAAGGTCATCCTTCGAGCTATATGGCCGGCCCATTGCCACTTCAGCTTACTAATCCGTTGGGTTATGTCGGTCACCTATATATTTAATAAATTAATAAAGTAATTTGTCGGTCGTCAAAGTTTCGTTGGTCAGTTGGACTTGACTACGGAAAATGAAGTTTTAATATATTTCGTAATATAATCGCTTATAACTCAATTTATGTAAAATGGTACTGGTATAAAGACTTACAATTTATTGCAAGGGACGTGAAACAAATAAGATAATGTTTTGACATACCTACCTACGTTGCATCACATTTAGACATTAGAATTTTACTTACTTGTTTACATCAAAGTTCATAATAATGTGGATGTTTTGATTTCTATTAAAGTATTTCAATTATTTCGAATTTTTACAAACATGATAGGTACTTTATGTTTATTTCAATGGGTTATTGAGACTGGTAAAAGTTTAGAATGCAATCTTTTTTAATAAAAAAAATACTAGCAATGTTATTAACACTACTAAAATTCCCCTTAACCACTACTGGTAAGCTTAAAATGCTTGTGTTAGGCGTGATTCACGACAGTAGTCGAATGGCGAATTCGAATTTCGAACCCACAACCTTTCGAGTTCGCGGTTCGCACCCTGCCATTAGGCTAGTGTCGATAAATCTTCAAATATTATTCACCATTCACCACGAAAATTTAAAAATAATAACCACACAGCAATCTGAATTTTTGTTTAAGACCAACCTTTATAAAGTAACGTACCTAACCCAGTTTACACCCCACATTCAACAGCCCCATAAAATTTGAAAAGGGCATATGAAAGAAAAATCCTTAAAGTTTAAAATCTCAAAAGGGCATTCAAAAGCAAAAAGAAAAGGAAATAAAATACGGCTTATTTCATTTGACGCATTTGTCGAGTTAGCGCATGCGCACCGGGCGGGCGCCGACAAAGCTCCGCGTTCAAATAAAAAACGTTCTAATTTCAAACCGGTCGCCCCTCTGCCGCACGCGCTCCTGCGCATCCCTCACCCATTATTATGCTGAAGAGGTCATTCACAGTTCGCACAATAGCACCCATACATCGCCCACCGCTAATAAGCAAGGCTGGCCGCTTGTAAACCCTTTTAATCATAAATTTCCTTCTAGAGCCACTATAAAACAGAGCTAACGACTCAACTCTCGGGTAAAAACGTGAAGAACGCATTAACATCTCAGTAAAAAGCGTTCGAATAAGTATGAAAAATAATATTCGTTGGGTTAACGATGGACCAACACTTGCAGGAGGTTCAAACTATTCCCATCCGTCTGTTGCATACATTACTAATCGACGTGCTTTGATCTAAACCCGAACTCTAAAGCTGTAGACATGTGTGAATATAATATATGAAGATTATTAGAAATGTATCTCTTTTGTGTTTATCATAATATTAGGTTGGAAAACGTTCTAATATTACCACAAGACAAGTGGATACTGTTTCCCATGTATACCTGCAAAGAACTTTATACATCCCAGAGAATCCAGATGAAAGAGCTAATTAATGGATTATTCTACATGTGAATTAAAATGTTAATTGAATGTTAATTATAATGTTTATGTATTATACTACGTGGTTGTGTTTATACCAATTTAATATAGAAACCCGTATAAACTTATAGCTTCATTTATAAACAGCATATACCTTACATACAGGTGATTAAAAGTAGAGTCACATATAAAATAAAACATAGCTAATGAAACCATTTCGCGTCTTAACTAAGGCTCTTTTAATTAAAAATATCAGTTAAGTGAACAAGTCCTAGTTAATCGCATGAGATTGTGGAGAAACTTTTATGCGATGTCAGTATGCAAATTAACAAAGCAGTACCACTATAAATAGATTATTTTAATATTACAAATATGTCCACGATCCCATAAATTCCTCTGCTATCACAACTAGTAATTGTCTAATAAAGATAATGTACACAAGTTTCATTTTAAGATGCCAGTTATGTAGACGAATCTTCACGAATAAACAGTAATCGTAAAAATTTATTACAAGAATTTAACTAAAAAAGAACACAATCACTAAAACTCTACAATTGTTTCCATTATTTTATCTAAATTAAAACATAAATTTGGAACATTTGTAATCAGCGTGGAAATGCAGAAGTCTCATGAATGTCTACCTTGCTACGTGTCTATACTAGTAATTAAATACAAACAGCCACCTTTGACTTTACTAATTCTAAGATGAATTCTTGTATGCAGGAGTTAGAATATCTCTATTTAAATTGGACGTTAGGTGCTTTATAGTATTCTACAAGTAAGTTAATAAAAAGAAGTAACGTTTTTAATGTGTAAACCTTACCTTGTTTTAAAGAACAAAATTGGTTTTTATCTGAGTTTTGTAATCTCGTTCGATGATACTATGGAACGTGAACAGTTAATTTGACAAGATCAAATATTCTCGTATCTATTAAATCATAGCATTATTAGAGTAAGGCATGCTTTAGTATGAAATATGCATAATATGTATGCTCGCAACGGAATTAAATGAAGCGATAAAACTAGTTTACTCACATGAAAGTAAGAACAAAGATTAAATTTAAAAAAAATCACTGTGTGATTTGTTACGCGAAACTTTCGTGAAGAAGACATTGTTATTCGTATTAATTGCTTAAAATAAAAAATAAAATAATTGTGCACACAGAAAATAGAATAATATTCACGATTGGAATTAAACAATAAGTAGGTATAATGCGAAATCAAAAGAAGAGAAATCAGAAAGTTAGATAATAATGTTTACTCACGTCCACGTGAATTACCCGCCAGCGTGCCTGTTTAGGTTAGTCATGTATCTTGAGCTTAAATATATTTTGTTATTTTTCGAATCAAAATGTATTGAGTATTCAAACATATAGCTTAATTGTGCCATTGAATATGATTAAGCAAGGATGAATTAACAATAAAAGCGATGACAAAAAATAACAATAAAAATATGATTCAACATCGCAGTATACAAAAAGTAATAAAACTTAACAACAGTATTTTTATATAAAAAATAAATAAAAATAAAACGGTTTTTTTTTCCTTCTCCCATTTATGTATTGTTTTGGTGTACAATAAAAAGTTGTCTATCTATCTTAAGTCTTTTCTTCTTCATTAACATTTTTACCAAATACTAATAAAGTCGAACAGATTCAACTAGTATGCTCTACTACTATGCTTCGGTTGTAGCACGAATGGGTTGGCTCGAGCGGAGTAGGATCACGCTGTCACAGAATACCAGCGTAAAAATAGCAACTAAACGCTGCTGTGTTTCATAATACAATGAGTGGTCGTTTCCAGTAAAAAGAGTATCCGGTTCTCTAACTG